TTTATCTAGCAGTTCGTCCCGCACTAGGGTGCGATGAGGCTTATGAGCCGTATTCCTAGGATGCCTACTTGGTAGTCCGTCCCGTACTCGAGTTACGTACAGAGGTGCGATGAGACTAATGAGCCATTTACACTGTTAGGATACTGACCGGGTTATAGGGTCCTGTTTTGCTTATGTATACCAAGTGTAGGATCGTGACCCTTAAGAATAGAGTGCGCTCATATAAAAATCTGCGGAAGCTTTACACTTAAACACTAGAGGGTGAGTTTGCAAAATATATTATAAATTGCAAAGAAAGAATGGCAATCTCAGAAAAAAAACATCACAAACACAAGCATGTATACTGGTTCCACCTCCCCGGTGTACATCCAGTCCCCAAGCAAATCCCGCTTGAGATTTCCACTATGATTTTGAAACCTTACAAAATCAAAAGCAAACCTGACCAATTTGCAAGACCATGCAAATTGCAACACCAATTGACAAGACCATGCCAATTGCCACCCAATCTCTAAACCAAGAGATCAACCCTCTCAAACCCGAGAGAAATCCTTTTTGAAGCAAGAACACAATTGATCCTATAAGCCTTGAATGTGTAGTGAAGTGCTGCAGTGGCTTAGGATTCTTTTAACTCTCTGAATATTGCCTATACAATCTCTAAGAATGATTGAAACCAAGGCAATATCAGAAACTCTCTTTTTCTAAACACTTAGCATGAAAATCTGGAAAATTAGAGAGTGAATATGCACAAAATGTTTGATCTTGCAAGTGCAAAACTTGGTTGTTGTTTTTTGTTGTTTAAACCTATTTATAGCCTCTGAAATGACATAATTTTAAACCCAATTAACGTCCACAAAACGGCTATAAACAGTCAGATATTCAAACTTTGAAAACTGGAAAAACTGTATCTGTAGTCGACTACTGTTGACATTAGTCGACTACACTGAGTTCAAAGAGACTCTGGTTTTCGGAAAATTTTCTCAGTAGTCGACTACAAAGCCCATTAGTCGACTACACTGTATTTTAACAGAAACTGATAAAATGAAATTTGAGTTCAGTAGTCGACTACTGTTGACATTAGTCGACTATACTGTAAAAACACAGAAACTTATGTTTCTGTCAAACACTTAAGTAGTCGACTATAATCACTATTAGTCGACTATACTGTAAATTGACAGAATTATGTATTTGAGTTTTATACATGAGTAGTCGACTACTATTCTAATTAGTCGACTACTAAGATCAAAAATTCTGCTATAAGGAGTTTTTATAATCAAGTTTTAACTATAATTCTAATGGTTAACATAGGGGATTTCTATAGTTAACCAACACACTGAGCCTGTGTTAGTGTGTTCTAAAATTGTGTGTGTGCGTGTGTGTGATCAAGGCTTGTACAATTATTCTAAGTAAAGAAAATGTAAAATATATTATCTCTTTTGTTCTTCATTTTCTTCACTTCAAAATGCCTTGAAATCAACTTGCACTTGTACATATTCTGATATTGAAATCTGCATATAAAAGTTAGTACACACACTGTATAAATTGTTATCATCAAAACATTATCATGGAGATATGATATTCAACACAGGTAGTCGTCCCGCATGATGATGCGATGAATCAAAATCTTGTACGGAGTTGCATTGAGATAGTTAAATAATAGCCCGAGTCGTTGGTAGATGCCGGTTATATTTTTGACTCACTTTAAATATATGACCCAGAGTACTTTGTATTTGAAAGTACACAGGATTTATGCCGATATTCATTCTATCTTTCCAGTGACAGTGGAAGATATTATGAATACGATATGTTGATGTATTTACTTTCTTTTACTGTTTTTCTTTATTTTCTTAGTTGGGATCAATAATTAGCGATTCACAATTTGAGACATATGGTATATACATGAGGGTTTCATTATTTGGGTTATTTCGTTCGACATACAAGTCTTGTGTTGTGGATTTCTAATTGTTGATTTAATTTAGATTGTTTATCTCTAGTTTGGTGTTAATGTTTAGGCGTCTACAATTCGGGACATATGATATGTACATGAGTGTTTCCTTGTTTGGATTATTTCGCTCGACGTACTATGTCTCATATTGTAGCTGTTCAAATATTAATTTTATTAGACACGAGGGCAAATTATCTAGGTAGACTATGCTTAATAAATAGAGCCTCCACTCCATCTAGCAGCCCTTCCTCTGGGGGCGGATGGAGGTGATCTTGCTATAACGCTCTGACGCTCTTGTTGTTGCTCTTTTTCTTCTAATATTCTTTTAGGTAATTCGGAGCACCGGAGAGTCGCAGGATGACAGAGTTCTTGTATAGTCGTCGTCACATGAGATTTATTAGAGGCTCCACCGTAGTTTTATATTTTGGTTCAGGCCTTAGAGTTTATTTCATAGTGTAAAGACAGTATGCCTTAGTACGATTTTTAGTTGTTTCTTGTCGAGACATATTTATTCATTTTGGATATCAGATATATTCGAGGTTGTTCATTGAGATATGATTTATTTATGAGATACTTCTTTCTATATCATGTCTATTGTAGTTATTTTCTTTCTTTTACTTGTTTTGTACCTGCACTTTATTTTGATTCCACTAGAGGATATTGCTGTGATTGGTAAAACTTGTTGTTGCACAGTGTGTGGTGTATGACATGTTTGACATCTCTAGGTTCATCTTGGACTACAGCCATGTGTGAAAACAAGGGCGTCACAATATATATATATATAATGTCCAATAAAAGTTTAAAGCATGATTTCTATGGAAGAAAAAAAATGTTTTAAAGGTTCCGCAAATTCACTTTAGCTTGAACAAGGGACGAATGACAAAAAAGTTTACTGTATTTGAATAGTAACATTAAGTTTTAATTAAAATACTGTAGCGTGAATGTATTTGAATAGTAACATTAAGTTTTAAATAAAAACACTCTAGCGTGAATCACCTAGTTGATTGAAAAGGATTTTAATATTCTGCTTCCTTCAAAAGAGTTCTAATATTCTGAATTATATTGTGTAGCGAACTATAGTGTAGCAGTACAAACAGTGATTTTAGAGTTTTGCTTTTAAATTAAAAATAGAGTTAATTTTACAAAACCCCCCATAAACTTTAGGAGGTGTTGAACTGATCCTCTCGAACTTTGCTTAATCCCTGAACTATGAAATATCTTACAAAACCCCCATGAACTTTATGTTATCTTACCTAGCCCCCCACCTATAGTTTGTAAATAACCAATAACTTTTTTCATGGAAAAAACTCAAAATTTTGGTGAGGAAGTATATTGCATGTAAATAACAAGTGATAATATTTGAGATTTTTTCACTTAAAGATATTTAGTTATTTGTAAATTACATGTAGAGGAGCCTGATGCTGGCTGAGATAAGATAAAATTTAGGGAGATCTTATGAGACACCCTATAATTTGGAAAGGTTATGTGAGACAAGCAAAATTCAGGGGGTTATGGGCAACAAACCCCAAAGTTCAGGTGGTTTTTGTGAAATTAACCCTAAAAAGTAGTTGATATTGATCTATTTGCACTTAAATACCTAAAAGTTTATCTCATTTTTAACCTTGATACCCCAGATTTACGTCCAAGTTCAACACATGCGCCAAACTTAATATTTCTTGTTAAGGAGTATCAAGTTAATTTTCTGTTAAATTAAGTTTGGGATGTAATTACATATAAATTTTATTGAACTTTTGGGTGCTTTTGCCGTTTTTTTTTGAGATGTGGGGGCTGGGGGGTGGTCTTTATGGATCAAATTTAAAAAAATGAATTAACTCTTGGGTACTTTTTGGGCAAAGTTTTTAGCTTTAGAGTATCAAAATTAAATGGAGGAGACTTTGGAGTAATTAAGGGTCTGTTTGGTTATTTCCTAAAAACCAAGAAATGGAAATGAAAAAGTGAAAATATCAAAAAGTACAATTTTATCCATTTTCATCCCTAAAACTCACCCACAACATCCAATATAATATTATTTTTATTCAACAATTCATCCACAACATCTAATAAAAAAATATTTTTATCCAACAACTCATCCACCACATCTAATAAAATATTATTTTTACCTAACAACTCATCAACCACATCTAATAAAATATTATTTTTATCCACAACATCACTCAACTCATCTCACTCATCATTTCAAATCACTCGCATCATCCAGTAAGATGGTGACAACCCATCTCATCTCATTAACATTTCATTTCCACCCATTTTCTCCAAAAAATCTAGGAAAACGATTTCCTTAAGTGTGAGTCACACCATCCAATAATATAATGACAACTCATCTCATCTCATCTATTTTCTTATTTTTAAGAATGAACCAAACAAAAGAAAACAACCTATTACAAGAAATAGTTTTATTATAATTCATTTCCTTATTTTTTTGGCCAACCAAACAACATCAAAACAATTTTTCTTAAAAAATCACTCACATCATCCTATAAATAAGGTGACAACTAACATCATCTCATATCCATTTCTTTGATTTCCTATATATTTTAGCCAACCAAACATTCTCAAAATAATTTTTCTTAGAAATAAGTTTTCATTTCTTTGATTTCCCTTTTCTTTAGGCAAACAAATAAGAAATATGGATGTGGGCTGTATATGAATATATTTTTTGAAACTGTGAATAAGAAATATGGGGGGAAAAACAAAGCTGTTGCAAAACAGTGTTGTGTCATTTTGGATATGAGCAAATCAACAAAAGAAGTCAACTAATCCTAACGGCTCTAACAAGAAAAATCCCCAAACTCTCCTACAAATGAAAAAAATGTTTCACAACGTTCCCTATAGAAAATCCTGTAGGAAGCCACCTGAGGGTTGATAATCTTACATTACCTTAAGATTCGTGCTGATGTGACACGTGTCGATATCTTAAAGCTCCGCATAGGATTATTTATAGAAATCCCTCTATAGAAACTATTTTCCCAATCTCTTCTCTTCCCCACTTCGGAAGGAATGACGCGCGCATCCCATGCAAATTGCCCTTCCGCTCTCCCGAACTGGCGGTTCCACGCGTCGACAGGCCCGGCAGGTGACCGCTACGACCCGAACCGGAGGAATCCCGTAGCGGTTTCGGCCGCCGACCGGTGGCCTTCTTTCCTCCGTAGGATGTTCCGCTGGAACACGATATTCGTCGTCTTGCTGCTCCTCACCGTCCTCTCGCCCATTCTCTACTTCACCTTCCCCAAAATTATTCGTAAGCCCCCGAAACGAATTACTCGTAAAAATCTGCACTGTGATTTTCTTGATTTTTATTTTTTATTTTTTATTTTTTCAGAGAGGGAGGAGATCGCTGATGGCGGCGGCTCCAATGTGGTAGTTTTCTTGAGATTTGTGAATGTTTTGTTTTCTTGAAAATTTAGGGTTTATGTTTTCTTGAAATTTTGAAGGAATCGAATGTCGCGACTAAAGGACTGCCAGGGATTATAGCTAGCGATGATCGGAATGATTCTGGAGAAGGTGAAATTGATTTCTTTTTTTTGGTTTTATTTCTTATTTTACAAAATTTTTTGAGTTTTTTTTTGTATTTTACGTAATTAATATTGTTTTGTTCAATTTATTGAATTTAAAGTATTTTTGCTATCAGCATTGCCATTTTATTGTTCATTTAAGTAGTTGAAGGTTTCTTTTTGAAGTTTTATAGGGTTTGGAGATCCTTTTGAGGTTGCTTGGTTTCAAGTTTTCTTCTAAGATTTCTTGATGGGGTTTTGTTAATTTAAGTAGCTTCTTCGAGGGTATTTACGATTTACATAATAATACATATCGTTTAGTTCAATTTGTTGACATGTTGAACGACTATGTATTACTGGAGGAACTTTACAGGATCGATAGTTTCAATATGTTCCAGTTTGTTGCTCGTTTCGAGGATTTAAGGCATCTTTATGATTTCTAGAGTTCAGGGTTCATTTACTATCAACCAAGACAGTTTGAACTTGGGTTATTTTTACAAAGAAACATGGACTTTTCCACTTGATGGCATATTAAGTTCCTGTTATTCGTTTTTGAAACAATATTTTCCAACTTCCAAAAACTTGATTCCTTTTAATTTAATGGTACTTCCTAGGGAACGCAGAAAATTGATGGTTAAAGTAATTAAATTTCTTTTCTATGATTAGTTGAGCTGATTAGGATTTCTGTAGTTATTCTTGATGAAATTTAACATTCTTGAGTGCGAAAGTAATTCTAAATACTAAAGTCAGATCAGAATAAGGGAACTCAATTTCTTTGGATATTTGTTTCTATTATTACAGAATTGCCTCATCAAAATGTGCAAGAGGAAGAATTCCTTGGAGAAGGCATCATAAAAGATTTGTTGCAATATCAAAATGCTCGAAAGGAAGATTTTGTTGGACAGGACACCATGGGTAATTGGAAGAATGATGACAAGGGAGATCAGTACACCAATACCACCAATTTTGATCATCAGGTTTTTTGGTAATTGGAAGAATGATGACAAGGGAGATCAGTACACCAATACCACCAATTTTGATCATCAGGTTTTTTCCCCTATATTTGAATTTCTTAGAAAGAGATCAGTACACCAATACCACCAATTTTGATCATCAGGTTTTTTCCCCTATATTTGAATTTCTTAGAAATCTTTGACTAAGAACCTAGTTGTTGATCCCTGTTCTTGTCTTCAATATTATGCATAGTAGCTTTAGTTTGTACAAAATATTGTTATTCTGTTCTTTTTGGAGAAGATGTTTCTGTCGGAACTAGGTTGTGTCTTCCTGTGATATACTAGCTTTTAGCTTGTACAAGAATATTCATGATTTGCCCTGTTGAGATCTTAAACCATGACTTAAGTTATTTCATGCAGAGTGGTTTCCTTTTATTTTTGTGAGCAGACAAAATAAATGTTGATTGTGGTAAATTTAACTCGTTATGGAGGTTTAGGCGAGCATTTCTGTAAAAAAAAAAAATGAAAACATAGTATTATGTTTATTTTTTTTCCAATTACTTTTAGGAGTTATTATATGTAATATCCATGTATTTTTTATGGATGGACTGCTTAAGGCCTTCCAACTTTAAGGCTGCAGAATTGTATATGGGATCAAATGTCTTGTCTTTTATGAAAGAGAGAAAAAAGATCTCTGATGGATCGAAAAGGTTGATTATGTCATCTAATTAAGCGAGGTGGATATTCTGGGAAATTAAATAAAAAAAGTTGATTAGGTCATAGAGGAGTATTTTCGCAGTGGGTCACACTATATTTTGTTGGCTTCTAAACACCTTTAAGTTCAACACTGTATCATTCATACCCTTTCCAATTCCTTTAGCATTAGAAGAGAACATTCATGGATTAACACTGTGGTGCTGTTGGTCGAAATTCTTCTTTAATATTGTCGTGATGTGTTTTTTAGACTTTTGGGGGTATTATCCCTCAAGCTAAAACAGTTCTAATTATATGAGAAATAACTACATAAATTATTGCAAATGGTTGAAAAGACTCGATAGGTAGAGTTGTGTATCTTTTTTTCTATTTCTCGGAAGCAATGGATGAAGGAAGTGTGCAGTGCCTATGCAATTAAGTCGTTACCCTAAAAAAAAAGAAAAAAAAAGATGACCATAGCCTTGAAATGAAACCTGATTATACTCATAACAAAGCTTTTAGCCTATGTGATTATGCTGTTGGTCTCAAAATGTTGAACCATTACTACAACCATAATGAAGTTTTCTTTATGAAAAAAGTTCCTAAGAAGTTTCTTCTAAGGATATTATTCAATTGCATTTCTTATATGTTGAGAAGTTACTGTTTCTGTTTAAATGATTACTCCCAGCGACATAAATCTTAGATCCATTAGCTCCCCTTACATACACGCAAGGCTTGTCGTATTGCAAAACCTTCGCAATCTCTATACCAGCATTGCACTGCCCTCTTCGTCCATTATACTTCAATAACAGTTATTAGCTTTCCTTTCTGGGACCTCCTCACTTATTGTTTCTTGTTTATACATGATGGCAATATTTCAAGTGGCGTACCATCACCTTGCCAATGCTAGCTGATAAATAATTAGAATGTAAAATATTCGCAATACATATATTGACAGAATAATATAATGATAGGCTAGATATTGACTTTTTTTTGAAGTATATGCATAACATCTATGAAGCATGGACACGGACACGGGAACACGAACACGACACGGACACGGCAAAACCCAAAAAAATAGGACACGGCGACATAGCTAGATTTTTTTAATATTATTATTATATATAGATCAATATTGAATTAAATTCCTATTACATTTTCATATTTTTTGTTATGTAAAGTGGATATTATAAATAAGAAACTAAAGGAAAGTGTGTGTTGCAGGTGTGAATTAAGACGTCGGGATGACAATGTTCTCTTGGAGAATTTAAGACAATAATGTTAAAGAAGGAAAAAAAGAGAAGATGAACATATAGAAAAATAGATCAATTTTTATGTTATATTATGTAACCTTAGCTTGTATAATCAATGACAAATGTAAGTTATGTAACTGATTTGAAGATAATACCAAATTATAATTTTCATTACTTTCATCTTGAGCATATAAAAATACAAGAGAATAAAGATCAAGTTGCAACTAGTTCCATGGCTACAAAATACTAAGTTACTAACATTGCAAAAATATAAAAATTACAACCAAAAGCGTACATTTACTTTCATCTTGAGCATATAAAAATACAAGCCTATCTCGCAAAACTAGAGTTAAAAATTACAAGCATACATTTAAAAGTTAGAATTATATCCAAAATATTACAAGCATTCCTCAAAATATTACAAGTATATTATTGAAATGGAAAGTAAATATTACAAGTATACAAAATATTACAACCCTAGCCCAATTTTTAATTTACAAATGCTACCTATATAAATAGGTTAAAATGGGTTCTAGGGCTAGGGTTTCAGTTTTCCCCTTTGATCTATCCGCCACCTCCTTCATCTGTCTCCAAAAATCGGCTCTCACTTTTCTCCTTTGATCCTATCCGCCGCCTCCTTCATCTGCCTCCAAAACATCGGCTCCTTTCTCCTCTCTCCTCCTTTGGGTCTGACTCCCAAGTTGGTTCTAGGGCTCGGGTTTTCACTGTTCTCCCTCGAAGCAGCCGATCGTTCACTCCTTCCACGCTCGAAGCTTGTCGCCGCTCGAAGCTCGTCGCCCCTCGAAGCTCGTCGTCGACTCCTCCCTCGAAGCTCGTCATCCCTTGAAGTTCGTCGTCCCTCGAAGATCATCGTTTACTCCTCCCTCGACTGTCTTCCCTCCTTTAGGATCGTAACTTTTCCCCCTCGTGAAATCGTTGTGTCCTTGCCATTCGGGAGCGAGTCCAGCCGTGTCGGGAGCGAATCGACACGCGTGTCGGAGGCGTTGACCGCGTGTCCGACGCGTGTCCGCGTCCGACACGCGTCGGACACGGACTCGGGGCTTGTTTTGGCGTGTCGGTGCTTCATAGCATAACATAACCATCAGGTTTGATTAAATAGAAATAAAAAATCGAGTAAACTACATAAGGTATTGAAAGAGGTTCCTTTTACTACGATAAAACTTATGCACCATAAAATAATCAAGTACGAGTAAACTACGTAAAGGTATGGAAAGAGATTCGTTTTACTACAATAAAACTTCAAATAGGCACCATAAGAAAATTAAATATAGACTCAAACATTGGAAGGCTCTTAACTCATGTAGTAGGTAGCATCTCCTGCACTGATATGCATTGTCACTTATTTTTGGATCATCACCATTTTAAATTCAATGGTTGATTCTTTAAAGTTCCTCTTACATTCATGGTTAAAGTAAAGATATCGATATATGTTAACACTGATTAAAAACACTTCTCAGTATCATCATTTTTCCAAATCCTTTTTGTTTGTTTTCTTATGCTCTCTTTATATCCTGGTTGTTATTTTTCTTATCTTTTGCATCTTTCTGGCAGTTGATGCGGAAGTGTTTATACATGAGATGGTAACAAGACACTCTCGTAGAAAGACATCGTAGGAGGGGGCCTGTTTTATTCTTTTATTGCTAGTGATCCTATAATCACCTGAATCATCAGGATCTCATGTACTTCTTATAATTGTTTATATTATTTCCAGGAACCACTCGGAGGAGTATTTGGCAAGGTTGATCCTGAAAATTATCACATAACTGATGCTAGAGTGCGACAATTTAAGGATCAGTTGGCAGTAGCAAGGTTATTTTTGGAGATCGAATTAACTAAGAGTCGCCCTCGGTTTATAGGTGAGCTACTTAAGCGGATAGCTGATGTTGAGAATGTACTTCATGAAGCAACTACGAAGTCAGGACTGTCAGAAGAGTAAGTAACTTCTACTATACATGCCATTCATTCATTCATTTGCATGGTAATAGAAATTTTGTTAATAGACTTGGCTTTGCTTGGTACTTTAAGGTTGGGGCTTAGTAATCTGAATGACCACATCTTGTGTCACCTACAACATCGAAATGCTTGCCTGCGTATCAATAGCTTCAATACTAACAATCTTCAAAGCAAGACAAATACTTGGAGAAAGTATCTTATTTAAGTGTATAGGCTTCACTCCATCTCTGTTTTAGGTTTTAACTGAGGAGGAATCCAATGTGTCAAATATACAATTTGCACGGTTTCCATTTGTTTCTTAGGGGAATCCGGTTCTCGGTCCACCTTAAATCTGTTGCATCTAGTTTTATAAGAATAAAATTGTATAAGTTCAATGAGGCATCCAATTATGTTGATTAATTACTTTTGTTTATGCGCTCTAATTTAGTGCTGACAGGAAGCTGAAGGCAATGGAGGAAACTTTATCTAAAGGGAAACAGATATTAGATGATTGTACGGCTACTGAGAAGAGTCTCCGTGCTGAGCTTCGTCCGGCAAAGGAACAGTTACGAACTGAGACAAGGCAGAATGCGTTTCTAAATCAACTTCTGGCCAAGACTCTTCCCAAAGGTCTCCATTGCCTTTCCTTGAGGCTCTCAATTGAGTATTATTCATTAAATTCCACTCAGAAATACCAGTTTCCTCATCAACAAAAGCTTGAAGATACCAAGCTATATCATTATGCACTTTTCACAGACAATGTATTAGCTGCAGCGGTGGTTGTGAACTCTACTCTGCATAATGCTAAAGTAATTACGTGAAACAAATTCATCAGCATCCATAGGGACCGAATTTTTCTCTCTCTTACTTTCAAGGCTGACAACTTATGTTTTCTTCCTTTTGTGCAGAATCCTGAAGACCATGTATTCCATGTTGTGACTGATGAACTCAATTACGCAGCAATAAAAATGTGGTTTCTAAGTAACCTGCCAGGAAACACTACAATCCAAGTTCAGAAAATCAAAGATTTCACTTGGCTGAATTCGAGCTATAGTCCGGTTCTTAAACAGCTTGAGTCTCAATCTATGATCGACTACTACTTCAGGACCCATGGTGCAAAGCCAGATGGAAACTTGAAGTACCGAAATCCAAAGTACCTTTCGATGTTGAATCATCTGAGGTTCTATTTACCTGAAATCTTCCCAAAGCTTAACAAGGTGGTGTTTCTAGATGATGATGTTGTTGTACAGAAAGACCTTACTGGGCTTTGGAACATTGATCTTAAAGGGATGGTAAATGGTGCTATTGAGACTTGTGGAGAGAGCTTCCATCGGTTTGACAAGTATCTTAACTTTTCGAATCCTTTGATTTCCAAAAATTTCGACCCTCATGCTTGTGGTTGGGCTTATGGAATGAATGTGTTTGATTTGGTTGAGTGGAGGAAGCAAAACATTACTAATGTCTACCATTCCTGGCAGACACTGGTAAGTATATTTATACTCCTCCCGCCTCTTCTCTGTTTGCCTATTTTTCTAAGGCGTCAATACTGTATTGATTCAAAATGTATTCTTAAACATCTTAATTCTATTTCACAGATAAAATTTATTGATCTTAACTAACTACACATTGACAGTGAATGAAATTGATTTTTAGCTGTTACTAGTCAATTATCATTGTTAAATTGTCATTTATGTGGTAGCAATTTTCAGAACAACACGTCCTATGTCTCATGCTTGATTTTGTTTATTTGCAGATAATATGTAAGGAAAATGAACCCATATACTCAAGGTTTGAAACCATAATGTATATGATTATAAATCTTTAGATATAGACACACAACAGAGAAAAATGATGAATTGAAATATGCACCTCTCTCTCCTTCCCTCCCTCCCTCCCTCTGGTAAACACATAATGTATTGGAAAATACTCTCTCTTTCTCACACATGCACACACATACACACAACACCCACACCTAAGAAAGATTCTATTTCAGGTTGATAAATGGCTACAAAACCTTGTTAAATCTATCATAGAGCTGCTTGCTCCGTAGCCTATTCCCTGTATATAGAGGAAGGTTAAAGTGCAGCTGATAACTTCGTCATTTTTTCATAGAGCTGCTTGCCCAGTCTATACCCTTTTGATAAGGAAAAAGGGTTATGTAGTTGTGGTGGTGATGATGTTTTTCCCTTTAGAACCATGGTCACAGTGATGATGAATGAAAGTATGTTCCACTAATGCTGTAATCTTGATATCATTGTTTGCGGATATATCTTTCTTTTGGTTTAAGAGCTCACACAACCATCTTTCTTATAGAAAACTTGATTAATCTGGTGTTATCAGATTTGCTGGAAATAATAGAATAAGATGCATATATATTTTTAAAAAAAAAATTCTCTTGCACATGCCTGTTGTACAGGCTCTGGAGAATGAAGAGTTCAGTATCATAGTTTAGAAATAGACTGTCGTCTACTTAATGCTCTTTTGTACTTTTAACAAATAGAGATCATTAATATTCTTTTTCGCTTTATGTGTTAACAAGTTTGCATGTTATTTATTAAGATTTAAGACTATGAAATTTATGGGCATAAGATTTTCCTTTGTTTATTTATTTCAGTCCAAAACTAAATGACAGTGAAAATATCCATTGTCTAAGAAAAATAAGAAATCAAGGGACAATGAAGTTTGGCATAGTGTGGAAACACATTTGCACCTTGACGTCATTATTGTTTATTAAATTATCAAAGCCAACCTTTTCCCTTTCCATGCAAAAGTACTTACTTTTTCTTTTAACATTTGCTTGTCTATTCCATTTATTTTAAGAATAATCTGATCTTACCTACTTATGTATGCTACCTTTTCTTTTTAGCTTGATTTGCTGTTTTTGAGAATGGCCCAGATGCTTGTTTTGAGGTCAATATTTATTTATTTTTGCACTGGAAAAATTAAAATTTCTAGCATATTTCAACTGAAATTCTCAAAGTCTCTTCCAATACACCAAAATTCCAATAAGGATTGAGCGCTTTAATCTTATACTGGGAGAGAAAGAATGGGGTATTTTTTTAAAATCTGCTTTAAATGCGTGTTCGGTAGGATTTGAGCTGGGATTACTCAGATACCATGTTATAATTTTATTCACGTCCACTACACCAAAACTCTGAAGTTTTGATGAGATTTGGGGCTATAATTTTATTCTCCTAAAAGAAATAATGCAACTTTACATGCTTTTAGAAACTCTTTCTTCTTATCTTCACATCAAATTTTCGACCGTAATCATCAATTTCTATTTGACTCCAGAACCAAGACAGGCAGTTATGGCAGTTAGGATCTCTTCCACCGGGACTGATTTCATTTTACAACCGCACATTGGCCCTTGATCGATCCTGGCATGTGCTTGGCCTTGGCTATGATGAAAATGTGAAGGAAACGGATCTTGATCATGCAGCAGTGATACACTATAATGGGAACAAGAAGCCTTGGTTGGAGATCGGAATGGAGAAGTATCGAAAATACTGGTCTAAATATGTGAATTATGATCAAATATATCTGCACCAGTGTAACATCGTTCCTTAGCGCAGATGGTAACTCTTCCTACTTCTCTTCGAACAGCAGCATGGTATATAACAATTTTGAATTGTAAATTTCAATTTTATACATACTATTCAGTTAAAAGTTGAGGTTGCATCTTTTTCCACAATCTCCACTGCACATTGCAAATTGTACATGATTACAGAAACAAAAGCTATTGTTCATTCATTTGTCACTTGATCTATACCCATGAACAATTATTCTTGTATCCATTTATTGCAGCTTTATTCTTTTTCTGTGTTTGTCATTTTTAAGGACGCAGACGAAGTTTTTGTTGATGTTTTGGCCACCTATCTGAAACCTTGGTTTCCTGTTCTTCTTAAATCGTAGACATTTTTTTTTCTGTTACACGTAAATAAAAGTTGCACTGACGTATGTAACTGGTTTAAGCCTGTGGATATCTAAGCAGGAACTTGCTTTCTTGAAAAGCATCAGAAAAACATTTAAAACCCTTTAAACAGGATAAAATTGTCCTATTAAAATTTAAATAATGAGATGTATATAGAAATACGAACCTTTAGCAATATTTCAACTAAAATACAGATACAGATATTTTTCTCTTGTCATTTGTTGATACACCAGGACATGTAATTACTCCTTCCACACAGGAAGGATACCCTGAGCTGCTAGTCTCTTCTCCACCCAAAACACAATATGTTTTGCTGTGATCTTTCTCTCATCGATGAGGAACGGCTCCACGGTACTTGCTTCAGATCCATGTGATGACAATGAAAACCCTTTAGGACCTTCCAAGAAGCAAACAAAAATTTTAGCTTGAAAGACCTTATGTCTATGTTAAAGAGATTTCAAATAGGGGTGTAAATGGATCGGATATGACATTTATCACATTCATCCGTTTATTAATCATATATATATATATGTACATACAATGTTACATTAAACGCCGGGCGCTTCTAGGCGTTGGACTTGGCGCCCAACGCTTAGTCGCCTAGACGGGCGCCTAAGCGGTTTCTGGGCATTTTTTTTCTTTCTTCATTTAAGTGGTGGTCGATGAGGTTTTGCTGAAGGTCGGAGGAGGTAGTGGAGGTGTTCATATTTGGAGGTTAATGGAGTTTGGAGGACGTGTAGGCTATGACACATAAAATCACAATCAAGGCCTACAGGGTGCAATCCACGTAAGCAGACAATGCTCCCCTAAACGCTCGTAAAATCTAGGTGGGCAGTCTAAATACCGTCTAGGCGCTAGGTGCTAGTTAGGCGGCCTAGGTACTGTCAGCTCACTACAGGGTGCAATCCACGTAAGCAGACAATGCTCCCCTAAACGCTCGTAAAATCTAGGTGGGCAGTCTAAATACCGTCTAGGCGCTAGGTGCTAGTTAGGCGGCCTAGGTACTGTCAGCTCA